AGGGAGGGAGGGAGAGAGAGAGGGAGAGAGAGGGAGAGGAGGAGGCAACGGAGAGAAGGAGGCAAGGAAGCAAGCAATCAAGCAAGCATGCAGCTAAGTTACTGTGTACGTATGTGCTTGCGCCTTCACACACCCTGCATCAACAGAGCTTCATTTCTGTAATCGTACGTACGCATGCCTGAATGTTCTCGTGCGTGGGTGTGTGATTGAGTAAGTGAGTGACTGAGTGAGTGACTGAGTGAGCAAGCGAGGGAGGGAGGGAGTGAGGGAGTGAGTGAGTGAGTGAGTGAGTGAGTGTGTGTGTGTGTGGTAGTGTGTGTGGACACATTGCGAAGAAGGCCCAGCGCTTTCCTTCCGCAGCCGCAGAACGCTCCTGGGTCTCTGAAAATGCAGATTGAGGGTTGGCCAGAATTCCCAAATCAGAATTCGGGGTCCCTTGACTCTTGGAGTGTCTAGGTATCTGTCTCCGATCGGACTTCGAGGTTTTTTCTGGTCCGTGAAGTTCTGCCCCAAGGGGATTTGGGGCTCTCAGAACCCCAGACAAAGCTGCGAACCACACAGAACCCAGAGACTCCAATACCCCTTAATTAAGGAATATACCTTAAGTTATGGTAGGATCCCTACTATGATTTAAGGTATATTCCTTAATTAAGGGGTATGTTGGAGTCTTTGGGAACTGGGATCCGAAGTTACTTCCAGGCGCTCATGGGATCGGTCCCACACACCGTGATCCCACAAGGCATCTGTGATGGGCATGGGCATGGGCTCCTATTTCTTTTCTCATTTTTGGGCCCTTTCAAAGGGGTTGAGCCTTTTGAGGCTTACCGATTAAGGGTTTAGGGTTCAAGGGTTTAGGATGCAGGAAGCGACAGTGCAATCTTTCGAGTTCGAGAGTCGCTAGATGAAGCTCCCAAAGGCCGAACCGCATGGCCACAACCCTGTCTCAGTGAAGCCTCAAACCGGCACCCTTCACTTCGAAGCCTTCGAAATCTCACATCCTAGAGTTGTTGAGTTCTAGCGGCCCTAGCGGCTCTGGCGCTAGACCCTGAAGCACAAGAATCTCCACAGAGCGGACCCCTCTCCTCAAACCGCTACCAAGCACCCGGGAAGCCCGCCTGAAACCTGAGCCTCGAACCCCCTCTTGAAAGCGAAGCAGAGCTGGAGCAACAAGACAACTATAGAAGAACATGTGTGGGTAGTTGTCAAAATTATGGCCCCCTTTGGGGTACCCTAAATATTATAATAAGGACCCAAAAAGGGACCATAATTTTGACAACCACCCATATGTGCGGAACATGGGAAGTGCCATTGAAAGAGCCGGCTCGGGGCTCGGAAGAGGTCCCGGGGAGCCGCCCCTCTGCGTGCCAAACGTCCTCTGCATCCTCGCCACGGTGTCGGCCATGGCAGAGGCATCGGGTTGAATTTCTAAGGCCTTCCGTTGCCTCACATCGCCCCAAAATTCCATGCAGTTGAGTTTCAAGATTCATATTTCAAGATTCATACAACCTTGTGAGACCCTGAAGTCCTCAGCCTTTAACCTGGGATGTGCGGTTCATGGTTGTAGGATGTCAATTTGCCAGGTATTCCGTGCCAAGAGCAGGCGTTTTTGCCAACTCAATCTTCTGTCTCGAAGAGACATGCTCGAGTGAAATGGAGAGACTTTCCAAAACGTCATGGGTTTAATTGAAGCCGCAGAGTTCTGTCGGGTCGGCTGACTGTGCCAAAAAAAGCTCATAAACCATAATGCCATAAGCGCAGTCACTTGAAAGCCCTACACCCCCAAACCCCGCCAGGGAATGACCCTGGGCATGGAGGTGAAGCAAGCCCTGTGAGCAAAAAGAGGCCGTGATTCCGACGCTGTGTGCTGAGGGATAGGATTCACGAGTGTTGGCTTCCAGGGATTTCGTGCTTCCAAGGCCTAAACCCTAAACCCTAAACAGCTTAGGGTTTACGGGCTTGGGGTTTAGGGAGAGCTAGGCTCCCCAAAAAGGGCTGCAGAGGCTCGGGTTTCCTTATGGAAAGAGGAGCCTCACATCATTCTGGCCAAGGCCCTCTTCGGCTCAAGAAGGATGGAGTCCCCAAGCCATGAAAGCAGAAGTCAGCATGTCTGCTCATCTATTGACGAGAGATCACTTCGGAGAGTCCTCGTGCGATATCTGCAGGCTCTACAAATCGAAACCCTAAGCTCCAGATGCTATGTGCAACACAAAGAGAATGCAAGAGAGAGAGGGAGAGAGAGAGAGAGAGAGAGAGTTGGGGGAGGCACTTGAGGTACGCATACTGACCTCATGACTCGTCAGTAGTCTGATTGCTGCAGACTGATACTTTCCAAAGCCTCGAGCGCGGGGCGTGTCGCCACCATGCTCTTCAGCGCCGTGGATTCCTGGCTGGAGCGGGTCACTGGCGGACAGGCGCAGATTACCATGGAGGTCTAGGCCACGGCTTTGAGTCCGAATCCTTCCGAATTAATGCCATCTCCCGACACAGGGTACAGAACTTCCAAGGCATCCCAGCCCACTTCTTCATCCAACTACCCACAAACACAAAGCTCCCCAACGAGGCCTCAAAGGTAGAGCTTTCAAGCCCGAGAAGCTGGAGCCCAACCCAAAAGCCCCAAATCGATCCTTCTTGTACTCCGGTTGATGGACAAAATCCTGCATGACCTTAAGGACCCTAAACTATGGGAATTATGGTATATTCCTTATAGTGGGTAATGCAGGATTTTGTCCATCAACCGTCCCGAACCCCTTTCGTAAACCTCCAGACTCTAGGCCTTCTGAACCCTCGAAGTCCCGAAAGTCTGAGAAGTTTCGCCGCACAGGTTAGACGGCCAGGGCCAGACGACGCTCGGATCCTCTTAGGACTCTTGAAAGTCCTTGAGTTTAGGTTTAGGTGTATCATGGGGGCCTGAGTAATTGGCCAAAGCTCTAGTATGCAGTACTTATCTTACGAAGCCTAGGGGCCTGATCTCTGTTGAGGGCGGGCCGCTTATGAGTCCTTCTACTGCCTCCCTCCGTTCGGGCGAGCGGAGTTCCTGGTGACAGCAGTGCCGCAGCCTGGACGGCAGCGCGGACAGCCCGGACAACAGCCCCGACAGCAGCTCGGACAGCAGCCCGGACGACAGCCGGGACAGCCGGTGTCCGGGCTGCGTTCTGGGCTGGCGCGCTGTTGCGCGGGCTCGGGCTGTTGTCCACCGGTTGCTGTTCGCGATTTTGTTTGGGCTGTCGTCCGGACTATCCGGGTTCTTGTCCGGGCTGCTCCTGCTGTCCGGGCTGTTGCCCCCGGTTGTTGTTCGTGCCTTTGTCTGGGCCGTTGTCCGGCCTGTCCGGGTTGTTGTCCGGGCTGGTGCTCGGTGGCTCCTCTGGCTTGCTAGCACCTTGGGTGACACTTAGGCCGGCAAAGAGGTGCAAAAAGTGTTCAAGCTGACATGGAAGTCTATTTCACCGCATGTTCCCGGACCCGGCGTGGCCGGGCGCTTTCCTTAGCACGGTACTGTCCAAGGAGCTGACTCCGTACGTCGAGAACCTGTCCCTTTCACGACATTGCTTGCACATCAAAAGCTCTGATTCAAGATGCCTTCCAATGCTGCTGGAATGACACGGCTGTTCTTCTCGTTCTATCGCTTTTGCCAACGGTGGAAAACTTTGCGCGGGCTGCTCCGACTTGGTTTCTTTGCCTCTCACGAAGTCGGGGCAAACGGACGGCACTGCAGAATCTCGGCTCATTGATGATACATTCGTCTGCTCAACATTTCTGGCCTTTCTTCGCCCTCGGTTGAGCACAGGGGTTCCACGTAAGCGTTTGCAGCTCATGCTTCATGACCAGAAAGCCGACATACCTTATCGCTTGTACTCGCTTCGCCAAAGGCGTAACCCCATTCGTTTCATTTCGTCCAATCAACAATCTGCCGCAGGCTTGTTTCAATGGTCGTTGGAGCTTGACTAAAAGGTTCGCATCCACAAGTGCGACGATGTTGCTCACCTTTCTTGCTTGCAGCTGTCTCCGTCGTGCACAATCGTAGGCAATCTGGCTCTCGCAGCACGTCCTGCGTGGAAAGGTTGTTTATGACCCCCCGTCCTTTCTCTCACTCCTTGCTTGCTCTCCCTTCTTGAGCTGCGATGAATTGAACTTTTTTTGCGGCTTTGAAGAGGGTACGCCCCTGACAGGCACTTGCCCATCGAAGCTCTGGGTATTGACCGGCTCAGGGCTGGGTGCGGCCAGGTCGGGATGGGAAAAGACGGTTTGATGGGGGGCTGCCCGCGCTTGCCGCTGCTCTCAGTGGACTGGTGGCAGCCACTGGCTCGAGTTCACCGGGTGTGGGTGGGCCTCGGCTGTTTTCTCCGTCTGCATTCTGTTTCTGAATGTATTCGCTTCCGGCGCAGCTGTGTGCGAAATGTTGCCATGCTTTCTTGTGTGTGTGTGTGAGCACTACTGTACATCTGTCGTACAGTCCGGGACATTTGTAAGGGCTCACGAAGCTTTTGGATCGTCGCCTCCAACGCAACTGCGTGCAACATGTTTCGGTGCTTTCCGTTGTGTGTGTGTGTGTCAGCACTATTGATTCTTACGGTCCCTGAGTTATGGGGTGTAAAGAGTTTTCGGGGCTCAGTCCCGGTGTGGGTTCTTCCTCTTGTGTCAGTGACTCGGGCGTCGGGCTTGGGGTTTCGGGTCTGTCTTTGGTCGGCGCAGCGGTGTTCTTTAGAACTGCTGGGGGTTCCACGAGTTCCGCAAGAGCTTCGTTTGCGCTTTGAAAGCAAGCGGCAGAGGTCACCGAATGGTTCTCAGGTAAGCTACCGGGTATGTAAGCAAGATGAGCATGCCCCGTGCCGAGGAGAAGGAGTGCATGCAGTGTAGGGTCCTGGGCACGGCCGTTTTCGGCGCTGCGGGGCTTCACTCGGCCATGGAGGCTATGCTTCTGCTTCGGCTGCTGCGAGGTTTCTTCTTTCGGCTGTTGAGTGCTACTGTTGGAAGGGTACGGTTCGGTGTCGGGCTTTTGAGTTGGTCTCGTTGGCCAAAAAGTTGGGAGGTTCTAGGGACCTAAGGGGTTGGAGCTTGGAGACATCAGGTTCCAGGCTTCCGGAATTTCAATGGGAGGGAGATGTTGGGCTGAGGGTTTGGGGAACCGTGGCGTGGGATTCTTGAACTGTGGCGTCTCATGCCCAGCGTGCACCGTAATGCAACTTGCAGGATGTCTAGACAGGACGATGTGCGATGTGCAACCTTCTGTTGCCTTATTAGTTTCGGTCACCTGCAGCTGCCCAATCCGAGCATAGCAGGCCTTCCGCTCGGCCCCCCGGTCTGGCAACCGGGCCTTCTTCGGCCTCGTGGGCCTCTGCTTCTTGACGGCGGCCACCTGGCGAGCGGTGACGCCCACGGCGCCAGTCCATTGAGCGATCTGAAGGCACCATGGGTTTGTGCATGGGGTTGGGGATGTTGAGGGCTTAAGCAGGTTTACCAGGCTTCGTGCCCGCGGGTTTAGGGATGAGGGAGCCGTTCTTGCAGGCGGCGGGGCTCTCTGAGAAAGATCCTGCGAACCTCAGCCGCCAGAACGCGGAGAACGCAGCCTCGCAGCGTCGGCGGTGCGGAACAGCCGTGCCCCACTTGTGCAGGTGCAACTTAGTTTCGAAACCATGACATTGTCTCTGGAATCGGAGAGACTCGCAATCAATCGGCCTCACCATCCGAGTTTAACATCCGGAGCCCCCACAGGGCCTTCGAAGCTGCGGCCAAAAAAGCTGGTTCCGTGCCGTATTGGGTTTCAGGCTTCGCTTTCAGGGTTTCGGGTTTTCTCCTTAGCATTTGAGGTCCGCAGTTTATGCAGGTTACAGATTCACGCAGTGCAATTTAAACAAGAGCAGCTGCTGAACCCTGAACCCCACCCCGACCCGACAGCCCAAAACCCTAAACCCTACCTCCTAAGCCCTAAACCCATCCGACCCTGCCAGGCCATCGCGCTCGAATCATAGACTTCGCATGGTTCCTCAATGAGCCTGGATCATCCGCAGCTTTGACTCCAGCCATCCCCTCCACTCTAAGTTGCTCCAACCTCAGCTCAACTGGCCTTAGCCTCAAATCCTGTTAGACCCAGATCCAAATCCAAATCCCCAAGCTCCAACCTATCTGGCCCCGCCTCTTCCTAGCACAACCCTGAAGTGGGTTTCGAAGCTCCAAAGAGCTTCTGATGGAGCTGCGGACATGGCCTGGGGGAGGCGGGAGCTTTCTTCTCCACCCTCCCTCTCTCTGCTTCTGCGTGTTCCTTTGCTTGTGTCCGCTTGCGCGCGCAGATGAACAGCCCAGATCCCGAATCAAACCTAACAGGTTCTGAACATTGTAAACAAGCCTGCATGTTGAACGTCATGTCTTCGTATTTTTTTGAGGATGACACTGCATGTTTCTGTTGTATTGGTCTTTCAATGATGCTGATGGTGGTGGTCGTGGGAGGTTGTCAGGTTGGAGGTTGTGAGTGTCATCAGGAGCGGCCTGCCAATAGCTGGGTTGCATACGGGGAGTTCCGAAAATAGGGGACCCTAATATAGTACCCCAAATAGTAGGATCCTTATAATAAGGACCCCAAAATAAGGTACCCCCTATTTTCGGAAACTCCCATATGGTCTTGGTTATAACTCGTTATTGACGCTTCCGAGTACACTGTCAAACCCTAAAGGCCTTGAATCCGAGACCGTAAATCTCAAACACAAGAGTTTCGATAAGCCCCAAGGGATTTGGCACAAAAGGCGCAGCGCCCCGGCGCTCCGAGCAGCGCTGCGCTTGCTGGGCCCGGAGCTCTGAGACTTCAAGGTTTGCGCCTCATTTTGGGGCTTTCTAGCATTCAAAACTATGAGCAGTGTTGTATGATGTATAAATCTATGCACTATATGCTTCAGAGTATGCTGGGTTTCGGATTCATTCAGAGTTGAGCAGTGCCCTGCTTCTTTGGGAGAAGACATCAGCCATCAGCAAGCGAGTACCGCGGCGCACTTGATTTCACCCTCAACTTCGTGCGCTCGAGCTGCTTGCCTATCGAACTCTGGCTTGAGGCATGCCGTCTGTTGGGGAGGGATGTGGTGAGATTCTCAGTGTTGGGACAAAGTTGGTCTGACTGCAGTGTTGACTCTTAGCAAAGTGGAAGCTTCCGAAGCCCCGATCAAGACCATCGCGACTTCTTTCGACGCCCGAACGTTCATCCACCTGGCCGTGTACATATCCTGAACCCGAAGCTCCGAACTCCGACCTTCGCATGAGCTCTGTGACTTGAGGCTCTCGATTTCTCAGCAAGGGGCCATGTGACGCCACCCGGCCAAGCCAGGCCCACCTAAGCATTAAGCAGCGTCATTGAAAGCGTCATGGTAGGTGCTCGAAACAAGGTCACTGCAAGCTGGGCCATTATTCAGAGCGGCATTCGACTTTAAACAATTGTCTCACCTGACATGGGGCCAGTCTGTCATGTAGAACGATCCGTGCAAGAGGTCATGGCGAGCTTGGCTTGACACTGAATCCCCAACGAGCATCCATAAACTCTGGAATCCAAGGTATAGGTCCTGAATTCAAACTGATTCATGGGCACGCCCAAGGCCCAATTGCGAAGACCCGAACTTTGCTTTTTGGCACTACCAAAGCTGCTATGCTGATGGCCTTAAATGGTGGTAGCAAGGCCTTGTTTTCATGGCCATTCGTATCATCATGACTGGTGTTGTGCTTGAACCATCTCCAAACCCTGCCGTATCGGAGGCCAAAGCCTTCCAGCAAGAAGTGGCGGGGCAGATTCGCCGGAGTCCAGTGCACGAGCTCCCCAAGGTTCCTGGCGTGGGTTCCCCCTCTGCCGGAACACCGTTTACGTCCCTACACGAACCTACATGGGTATCAAACATGAAATATATCCGTTCTACATCGAATACGGTGATGGTACTGTTAAAAGAGAAAGACATTACCAACCCACCACCGACGGACACTTCTCCCGAACGGGGTTTCGGAATGTGATGTTGAGCTATCAAGCAATGCAGGTTATTCAAGCAGTTATGCTGATATCTGCAAGAGAAAAGTCAGATCATAATCAAATTAGTATATAAAGCCTCGGCAACCCTAAGCCTCCGAAGCTGCACCTTCCACCTTCAGATCCGGAGAAAGCCCCAGGAATCTGTGTTTGTACGGCCCTGAGTGCGAACCGACCCCGAGATCCGCGTCTGGAGGTGCTCTCCGATCTCGGTGGCGCCGTCTCTTTGGACCGCACTCTTCGTCCAGGGCACAGGGGAATATACTATAATATACTAGAATATAATATACTATAATATAATATACTATAAATATACTGTAATATACTATAAAATAATACTATAACATAATATGAGTTGCTGCGCAGACCCCGACTCACCAGGCGACAGAAGCCAAGAAGCCCCAAGTCCTACCACTCTGAAGCAGAAAGGAGCCCTTCAACCCCTTCTAGCCTGCAGCCCTAAGCCCCAAGCCTTAAATCCTGAACCCCAAAGCCCAAACGCCTGCGTGGGGAGGACTTCTTCAATCTCCTCACGGCGCTGCAACGCGCGGCAAAGGGCACCGGCAAGGATTCGCAGGTGCACAGTCTCGGTTGTGATGGTCTTCATGTTCGTCCGAATACCAACTTATGCTGTAATGAGGATACCATAAGACTATAAGTACACAAGGTTACTACAAGGGGTACTATTTTTGACAATTCCCTTGCCTGGATTTATCGGGCTTTGCGAAGATGCGAAGCGACGAGTTTGCAGGCCGAGCAGATGGCAAGAGAGCTCGTGAGCACCATGACCAGGCGAGGGGGTGGGGGATCTCTCGCTAAGGAACCTCCCTTAGAATAGGGAATTGGGGTATAGTATACTATAATTGTAATAAGGAGCCCCCAAATCAAAATAGTATAGTTAGACTCCGAGCCATTACGAGTCACAGCACGAAGAGTGAATCGTGGCGGTACCAGCTCAGTGATCGTGTAGCAAAAAAATAAGCAGAGCAGTCGCAGGAGGGAGAAGAAGTGACCTTAGACGAGGAAGAAGAAGCAGCAGTCGAAACAAGATGGTCCAGATGAAGTCGTAAAACAACAGCAGCTACCAGTGCACATAGTGGTAATAAGAGTACGTAAGCGTAGTACGTTAGTGTTGTTGTCATGGTTCATGATGTTTCATTGGCGCAAGTACCCCTACTCCTCCTCGTCCTGCTCCTCCGACTCCTCCACCCCTTTAATCCCAAACCCCTACGGCTCCTTAGAAGCCTTCGAAGCTCCAGGGCTCCGAATACTGTAGCCGACCTTCGGAAATGCTCCCAAGCACCGAGGCGCCTCGTGGGCACGGAGGAAGGCCCACGGGGGAATCCCGTGCCGCATGGCTGCGCAGGTTGGGGCACTGCACTTGAGGTCTTTGTCGGCTTGATCTATAGCAAAGGTTTGAGGTTGGGTGATAGGGCCTCAACACGGCTTTGAGCCTCAAATCAAGAGCCACAGATCCACCGCCCAGTAAAAGTGAAGCCCGAGTCCTGAAGCCTGATTTTAGAAAGCATGTAAACTCGCGTTCTGACGCCATGCACGAGTCTTCTGACATGTGTGAGGAAATCGGATAAACCATCAAAGCTCCCATGATGTAGTTCTCGACACGGCTTTTTCTGTTAAGGACGCTTCTGCAAGCAAATAATTGTAGCAACTGTTGCTACAGATTCTATTTCAGTCGGTAGTGAGCAGTACAGCCAGCAGCAGCAACGGCAGCGGCAGCAGTAGCAGTGGCAGCAGCAGCAGCGGCAGCAGCAGCAGCGGCAGCAGCAGCAGCAGCAGCAGCAGCACCAGCGGCAGCAGCAGCAGCAGCAGCAGCAGCAGCAGCAGCAGCAGCAGCAGCAGCAACAGTAGCAGCAGCGGCAGCAGCAGCGGCAGCGGAAGCAGCAGCAGCAGTGGCAGCAGCGGCAGCAGGAAACGCGAGTATCAATCACCCGGATGACATGATGACGACTAGGGCGAGGATGAGGACAAGCATGCGGACCGGTGTGATTTAAGCTAGCCCTTCCGTAGTGGAGTCGTGGCGAGACTTATTCATCAACCGAGGCCCAGGCTCGCATGGCTCGCTCGGGCGGCCTGGGCCGCAGCACGACTGGCGCATGTGCGGCGCCCCAGTCGGAGTCGGGGGATGATCTCTTATATATAGGGGGCCGGATTATGTGTGTGTATGTATGTATACATACATACATATATATATATATATATATGTATGTATGTATGTATGTATGTATGTATGTATGTATGTATGTATATATATATATATGTGAGCATATATGTATATGTATATGTATATGTATATGTATATGTATATGTATATGTATATGTATATGTATATGTATATGTATATGTATATGTATATGTATATGTATGTATGGAGATCGATACAGCAAAAGACATAGATATAGACATGGATATAGAGGGACACTAGTGGTATCTTGTAGGATCTACCGTATCGGCCCCGGGTCTCCGGGTACCTGTAGTCTTGGGATTTCACAGACCTTAGCCTGATCGTTAGGAATGGTCAGAGGTTCAGCATTGGAATTATTGTAGAGTTAAGACAAGAGTGTAATTATTCAGGCCCCGTTTCTTTACTCCTGACCGTACCCGACTTTTGGCTTCGAGATACTTTCACTGATACCCCGGGGACGGGGCGAGTGTTCAGAGTATAGCGCATGGATACTTTCCCTTGGCCTTTGGAGCAACGCACCCCGATAGTCCCAACCCGGCGATCGAAGTCCCCTTTCCCAAGGAGCCCAAGCTGCGAGACTCCGCTCTGGAGTTGCTCTCGGAGGCCCCTGTGACTACGTGGCCACAGGAGTTGTGAGTAAATCCTGAACCCTAAAGGGCCCTACACCCTAAAGGCCCCTTCTCCACCTAGCAGCCAACTCTCCAGGAAACCACAAAGATGCCGAAACATCCCAGGGACCCCTGAACCCGAAGGTGGAGAGAACGGCGGTGCGAGTTTTGACTTCAGCTCCCGAAGGGAAGGTCGAGCCCAGGCAGGGGTAACATAAGGGTTGCTGAAAAGTCTTGCTGTGAGGGTAGGTTGCAGAGGGTTTTGCTGTCTTTTCAGCGCTGTGTCGGAGTTTACAAGTGTTTTTTCTTTTATGGTTTTGTCAGGAATGTTAAGTTCTTGTTGACGGAAGTGCTTATAACGGCGTTTGAAGGGTTGTATACGGGGTTACGGATTAGGAGCAGTTTCCAATTATGAGGATATACCAGAAATAGCATCGTTTTGGGTATCTAGGTACCGTAGTACCGTCCACCAACGGTGTCATCACAGTTTTTGTCGGTAACAGGTTCCTTCTCCGCCAGAAGCACCCAAGACTAGAAAAACACATCCCGACTGATCCCTGTCCGGTGAGCCGCAGCTTTGGGGAAGGCCCTGCTCTTAATCCGACTCCATAAGCCAGAAGCCCCGAAGCCTGAAGGGATGCAGCGCAGCTCCTTTGGGCGATGGCGACCTGGCACGTGGCTTGCCCAAGCTTGCTGCAGAGATGCTTGGCATGCACGGCCGTTTCGAGTGGGGGCGGGCATGCGTTCGGCGATGAACCTGGAGTCGTTGTGGGTTCATCTCGCCAAGACCGGGGCAACCCCTACGCCTCATATGTTCCAGAACCGATGACAAGACCACCACAGATAGCATACAGAAAGGGAGCAGCCATGCAGGAAGAGGAGGAGCGGCAATAGCAATAGTAGGCTCGAGGCGAAGAGGACATCGTCAGCACCGTCGTCGTCATTCCTGAGGCTTGTCGCCGCAGCTACGCCGCCAGAGATCCGATGCTTGGGCACCGCAGGCTCCAAGGGAGGGCTGAAATTTAAGGGAGGTTATTTCAGATCTTCACATTACCGGGGGCTGTGGGAGCTTTCGGAGCTTTGTGGTCTCGGTGGTGGAGTACATCCTAGCAGTCAAAAGCCGGAGTTGGGCTCAAACCTCGAATATCTGAACGCCCTAAGCCCCAAGCATGATCTAACAACGGCCCAACCCAAAATAGGCCTCAAGCCAGACTCCAACTTTTCAAAACTTGAGGATGCCATCTTGGGTCTTAGGGGCCTCAAATCCCAGAACCGTGAGCCCAGCACTTTGTGCAGAAACTCTATGTTAGAACACTGCAAAGGCTTGTCTACACACACGACGCGACTGAGAAAGAGGCATCCCATGAGTCCGGCTGCGGCACCCTTCCACGGTATGCAAGCCCTGAGCCCCCAACTCCCGAATCCTTTAGACCACGAGGTTGGGGGCCTCAGAAGCCCCATTGACATTAATTTTGCTCGGCCTTGTGAGCTCGGAAGCCCTTCAGAAGCCCGGCAAGACTCAACAACAGTGCGGAGAGCAATCCTGAAGCCTTATAAGTCCTCAGCGCTCCCTAGCCTATTGTACCTAAAACCCTCAACCCTGCAAACCCTAGACCTTACACCCAGACCCAAAACCTCAAACCCAAGAACCTTAAACCCCAAGCTCTCCAAGTCCCCAAAACCAGAGGACACCTCGAATTTGCTGTGGGCCATGGGCCGCCTTGGCGGGGACGCGGATGTCGTGGAGGCGCTGGTCTCGGCCGCCGCGGCCCAAGGGATGCAGATGGAGGTCCAGGCCGAAGTTTTTCTTTTCTGGGGCTTAGGGTTTAGGGTTTATGGTTTGTGGGGTTGAGGGTCGAAGGTAGTGCGGTCTTACGAGTTCAGGGGTGTAGATTTGACAGTTGGGATTGGGCGCTTGTGATTTGCGGGCCTTATAGAGGTCGTTCAGATTTGGCTTGCTTAGGGCTGTGGCTTGAGCTGGGACGACAAAATCCAACATCCACCCCCCGGGCAACGCTCTTTACAGGGCCTCTGCGCCGCACTCACGGCCTGCGCGCAGCGCTTTCGGGGATCGATCTCGGAAGACTGGCCGAAAGGCCTGGCGACTCGGCTACGGACCGTTGGGAGGTTCTTGTTTGGCGGATCTTGTCACTGTGGTGGCTCTCTCTCTAGTGGTGTTTGGAGTTTGTGAGTCTCCTCGGCGGGCGCCTGAATGATTTAGAAGAGGCTCCATCGGGGAGGCCGGGTCCTTTGGTTCTAGCTTCCGGTTTCGAGCACAGCCGGTGGAGGTACCTCGGCCCAGAGAAGGCACAAGAGCTGTCTCAGAACGTGTTGGTCCTGGCTAGTAGCCTCAGCCGTGCTGTGGGGCTTTGGCTGCGCTGTCTTTTGAGGAGACCCTCGTTCGGGCAGCATCCGACAGCTCCCCGGCCATTACAAGATGCCACCCTGGTGTTCGTCATCAGAAAGTCTGAGCCGTAGTAAGACATATAGTGAGGGTAGGAAGCACGTACCGAGGTGATGATAATAAAGCTAGAACAACAAGCATACCGACAACAATGTTGGCATATTGCTGATACTGCCCAGTAGAAAATCCTCCAAGCTCTATTATCTATATCTGTATTCAGTTGTATCGATACACGTGCGTGTGTGTGTGTGTGTATGTGCATAATGCACGAACGCACTTGAACCTGTTTTTTCGATTTTAATTTACCTACTTGTTATTGTGTTTGTGAATTTTTGTTTTCCGTGTAGTGTATGTGTTTGTTTATATAGAATATATATACACATATATTACACATTCACATATATATATATATGTACATATCTAACATATGTATGTATGTACGTAGGTTTGTTTGTCACAGACATACACACATACACATACATACATGCATACATACATACATCCATACATCCATACATACATACATTCTTTGTATATATACACATACACAGACATGTGCATACGGCATGTGTGCGCATGATGCAATGATATATTCGTACGTGTATACAGCTGTAGATGTAGATGCAAGTTCAACTGCAAATGCACATGCATGTTTACACACGCACACACAAAACCACTATCAGCACCAAAACAACTACAATTGACATGGCAAGTATACGGAAAACGAAAACATTTGGCAATTATACGGTTAGGTACATGTACCTATACATCGATAAATAGATATTTGCACGGACCGACAAGCATTCATACACCGCGCCCACACAATGTACGAAAACACACACACACATATATATATATATATATATATGTATATGTATATGTATATATCAATATGTATGTGTTTGTATATTTGTATATACATGCATGTAGATATGCAGACAGATAGACAGGCAGACAGATAGACAGTTACCGAGAGAGAGCGAGAGAGAGAGAGAGAGAGAGAGACAGGGGGAAAGCCCGGCCCACAAGAAAGCAAGAGATGGAGAGAGAGACAGAGAGAGAGAGAGAGAGATATATATATATATACTTATATATATATATGTATATATATATATGTATATATATATATATATACGTATAATTTTTACATAGAGCGATAGAGAGAATGCATGCATGCCTGAGGAGTGGAGAAGGAGGCTTTACTGCAGGACAAAGTCAGAATCTGCCTTCAGGCTGTTCTTTTACCGTGCTCCTGCACCTGCTCTAGTCTTGTCCTGTGGAGTTTTGACAGGGTTGTGGCCTTGTAAGGTTGAGTGGTTTAGTCGTTTTTTTGGCTTCGGGCCTTTAGAGGGCTGCGTTCTGCAATCTCATGTGAAAGTGCTAGACCCCCTATTTTTGAGCCCTCAATTCCCCAGGACTCTGCTGGGCAGCTTCCACACGGCCAGGCGACAGGGCGCTGGAGGTGGCCTTCCCGTACTGGCGGAGTTGGGCAAAAATATCCAGCGCTTCTGACAGCTCACCACACACAGGGCTCGGAGATCTAAGATCTAGATTCCTAAATAGTTGTTAAATCCATATTCTCGGTCATCCTCACTCCCAGACGAATCAAGGCAAATGCACCCCTATGCGGGCTCAGATGCAAAAACCCTAAGCCCTAAACGTTCCGAAGCCCGCAATTCCTCAGAGTCTTGATTCCCCCTCCCTCATCAGTCTTCTGGCAGGCCAGCAGAGTTGGTCCAGGTGCTTTGGGCTTTGGCCGCCCTTGGCGTGGAGTCTCCACCTGCCGCCGAAGCGCTTCGACGCCGGGGCTGGGAGGCTGCGAAGTTCTTCTTTTGCTTTGCAGTGGTCTGTAGAATCAGGCAGTAGGTTTCAGCCGCAGCAAGTGACATGGAGTGCACTGTAGCGCCTCCTTCGTTCGTCCCTAGTGCATTTCGAATTCGGCACGAGTCATCACGGCTGGGGTATGCTGAAAGTGGGAAGTGAAAGTAGCATGGGATGTAAGGATGGGAGGCGCGGGTTGGTGTCAAAGTCAGCCTGTGAAGCAGATCAAACTGAAGTGGGCTTTGCCTGGAGTTGAAGCCTCCCTGGGTTCCTGTTGGAGGAGCTGACTTGCTGTTACCACCATGCGGACACAGAGCAAGAAGTAGCTTCCCTCATTATGATAACTTGCATGAACTTCCCCAACAAGGACCTGGATCGTCAAGTACATGGGTCGAAACCCACCCCGCCCCCCGAAGCGATGCCCGAGTCAGGCACCACTGTATATCCTCAGAACAGAACGAACTGAGCAAAACAAGGAGGCATTCAATACAAAATCACTGCTTACTAATCCTCCGGCAATCCATAGAAGATCTCCTCGGTTAGACATTTGATTAATAAACACTCATTTTTGAAGGGCCTAAACAATGATTCGGATCCTGTTTATCACCACATCTGTCTGTCAATCAGGACCATTACACAGGATTGTTACTGATCTCTGGTGCCCTACACCCACGTGCAAAGTTCCTGGACCCATGAACCCTAAACCCTACTAAACCCTAAACCCTAAACCCTAAACCCTAACCTAAACCCCTCAACCCCCAAGCCCCTAAGCCCCTAAGCCCCTAAGCCCCTAAGCCCCTAAACCCTAAACCCTAAAACCCGGACCCACGAACTCTGAGACCCTGTCGGCACGAGACCTCTCCCTGGTGGCGTGGAGCTGCTCGGAGAAAACCGCTATTTTCACGTCAGGGCATGGCTGCAGGGGGTATGGGGCGTTGGGGCTTTGAGGGTTTAGGGGTTGATTTGTGCTTTTTTTGTTTCGGGGATTCCGGGTCCGGACTGTTAGGGTTTGGGGAGTTGGGGATTCGGCGTCAGGGACGGGGAGCATTGTACACGGATTCAAGCGATTTCTGAGCCCTCTCTCCCGTGGTCTTCTTGGATCACTCTTGTCTGAGCACACCTTCCGAGGGTTGCAGGATTCCTTCAAGTGCAGTTTAGGGGAATGGCCCCTTGTGGGATAAGCGAGCTTGGAAAGGCTTTGCTGCCACGAGCATGATGGACCCAAGAGTGGCAGCCTGAGACCGAACGGGATTCAGGGTTTTAGGGTTTGGGGTTTAGGGGTTTAGGGTTAAGGGTTTAGGGTTTAGGGTTCCGGGATTGCAGGTTAGGTAGTGTTTGGTTTTCTCTCTGAATCAATATCCCTGTCTGTGGCTCCTTGGAAACTGGGCGCTGTATATATATATATATATATATATCCCTGCTCTCATGTCCAGGTAGCAAGCTGGACTCTCATCAAGTCGTGCCTGCGGAGATCCAAAACGAAAGGTTTGTTAAGGTTTGGGCAATTGGAAATCGCATGTACCAGGCGCTTTCGGAGATTCCGAGGCGAGTTTCAGCTTCGCAATGAAGCTCCACGCATGGTGCTGATGATGGTGAGTACGATACTGGTAGATGATAGAGGATCGCAGAAAGAGGGCACAGGAGCAAGGGCACACGATCGCTGATAGTTGATTAGTTGTTGGTGATCTGTCATCGGTGATCGATTGTGGATGATAGATGCATTGTGCTCCTTACGGCGGCTGTTCGTATTTTGATTATTCGTACCATTGCTGCAGCTGCTGCTGCAGCTGCTGCCGACTGAGTGTTTCGTGGTTGCCGGTCTTCAGCATCTCGTAGAACATGGGATGAGCTGAGAGCACAAATTTAAGCAGTCCGACGCCAAGGACTTGGAGGCGATTGCGAAGGCTGCTACTCCAAAGATACAAGACTTCGACGCTCAAGGTACGTGCACCGTGGGGTTGGTCTTTTCTAGGGTTTCAAGGAGGGCTTGCAGGTATTCCACAAGCCCTGCCTTGCCCTGCCCTGCCCTGCCCTGCCCTGCCCTGCCCTGCCCTGCCCTGCCCTGCCCTGCCCTGCCCTGCCCTGCCCCGGCTGCTGCAGGTGCAAGCTATGCGGTATTTGTTCC